AAAAAAAAAAAAAAAAGCTGAATGCAGCTATGTTACGTTAGAAACTAAACATTTAAAAACTTTAAAATCCTTTATATTCTACATAGCAGAAGCTGATAAGTAATACAAGCTAATAGCAATCCAAAGCTTTTAAGGCTGACTTTTAAAGACAGTTTAACATAAATATTAGCAACTAACACTAAGCAGTATATTAAAATAATAATATATTGTGACCAGTTCAAGAACTGGTCAAATGAATTAATTAATCCATTTTATCCATGGGTAAAAGGAGAAAAGCTACATGGACTTCTTGACAGGTGCCAAAATATTTCATAAAAATATCTTCATAAATTTTACTTTGTAATTTTGATGTAGAAAAAAGTATAATCTTCATAAATTAGAAGTAGACTAACTGAAACCTCTAGCAAACATGTAGTCTTCCCTAGGTATTCATGGGGAATTTGTTCCAGGACCTCTCATGGATACCAAATCTGTGGATGTTCAATTCCCTTACATAAAATGTTGTAGTATATTTTATTAAATTCATTTATTTTTTGAGATAGAGTCTTACTCTGATCTCAGTTCATTGCAACCTCTTCCTCCTGGGCTCAAGTGACTCTCATGCCTCAGCCTAGCCTCCCAAGAAGCTGAGATTACAGGTGCCTGCCACCACACCTGGGTAATTTTTGTATTTTTAGTAGAGATGAGGTTTCACCATGTTGGCCAGGCTGATCTCAAACTCTGGCATCAAGTAATTCACTCGCCTTAGCCTCTCAAAGTGGTGGGATTGCAGGCATGAGCCACCTCATCCAGCCAAAATTCTGTAGTATATTTTAAATCATCTCTATTGGACCTGACTGTGATATATAATGAACAACAAAATCATCTCTAGATTATGCATAATATCTAATGCAATGTAAATGCTACATATGTAAATAGTTTTTATATTGTATCACTTAGGGAATAAAGATTTAAAAACGTCTGTACATGTTCAGTATAAACCCAATGATCCTTTTTTTGAGACAGGATCTCACTCTGTCACCTAGGCTGGAGTACAGTGGCACAATTACAGCTTACTGGATTCTTGACCTCCTGGGCACAAGCGATCCTCCCACCTCAGCCTTCCATGTAGCTGGGACTATAGGCCTGCACCACCATACCTGGCTAAGTTTGTCACTTTGTGCAGAGACAGGGTCTTGCTATCTTGCCCAGGCTGGTCTTGAACTCTGGGCTAAACTGAGGCTTCTGCCTTGGCCTCCCAAACTGTTGGGATTATAAGCATGAGCCTCACACCTGGACCATTCTTTTTTTTTTTTTTTTTTTTTTTTTTTTTGGACAGTTGGCAGAGCTAACTGAGGCTTTATTTTGAAAACAACAGCAACAAAACAATTGAATTGTTTTATAGCTGGAGGCACAGGCAAGGGGGATATACTAGGCAGTAGTAAACTACCCCAACGGGTGGGCCAAGGGTTAGGGCTGAGCCTCAGGTGGGTCTCCTGTTCCCTGTTCTCCTCTACACAGCGGCCTCTCTTGGGCAGCCACAGAAGAGGTAGGCTAGGAGGGGCTGCCATGGCTGTTGACTTAAGCAGGATGTCAGAGGACTCAGACGCCAGCTTCCCATCGAAGTTCTCGATTTTCACATCCACGGCCCTGGTGGAGCTGGTGTGGCTGAAGGAGCTGGAGCCCATGCCAGAGCCAAAACTGGAGCCCAGGCGATAGCTGAGGCCAGGGCTTGTGAGGTCCCCATAGGCCAAGCTCAGTCCACCTGCACAGCCACTAGTGGTCTTCGTATGGATACTCATGTTCTGCATCCCAGACTCCAGCCAGCTCTCCTTGTACTCCAGCAGCTTCCTGTAAGTGGTGATCGAGATATCCAGGATGAGCTTGACATTCATCAGCTCCTGGTACTCATGTAGCTGCCGCACCATGTCTCGCTTGGCCTATTGCATGGAGGCCTCCAGCTTGGACAGTTTGGTGTTGGCATCCTTACCGGCCAGTTCCCCATGGTGCTCGGCATCTGTGATGGCAGCATCCAGGGAAGCCCTCTGGCCTTTGAGGGCTTCAATCTCAGCCTGGAGCCAGCTGATGTTCCCGTTCATCTCAGAGATCTCAGTGATCTCAGTCTTTGCGTGCTGAAGGTCATCCCCATGCTTCCGAGCCAGTGCCCGTAGCTCCTCATACTTATCTGGTACATGTTCTCAGCCTCAGCCCAGCTGCGGTTGGCGATCTCATACTGCACCTCGACCTCAGTGATGATGCTGTCCATGTTTAGGGAGTGACTGTTGTCCCTGGACAGCACCACAGATGTGTCCAAGATCTGGGACTGCAGCTCCGAGATCTCCTCTTCGTACAGCTGCCTGATGAAGTTGAGCTCGTCAGTCAGCCCTTCCAGGAGCGACTCCAGCTCTACTTTGTTCATGTAAGCTTCGATGAGGACTTTTTTTTTTTTTTTTTTT